ACCTACCTGATAAACAGGTATTTCACCTATTGCTTCCCTTGGCCATCAGGGCTCCTATCGTCTTCCCTTGACCTTGATGCCACTGCCCAGCTATGACCCGCTTGTATCTTTGCATGGACTTTCACTCCATTTTAAACTGTTCTGAAACATTTGCTGCTCTGTTCTCCCCTGCCTCCTTCCACAGTGGAAACAGAGGTGGAAAGAGGCTGGAGGTTTGATCTGTGATCCGCCTGTGTTCAACACCCAGGTTGTCTGAACTCAGCCATAAACACATATATGCAAGGATGGCTGGTTACAACATCCTCCCTGAAAACTTCATTAGAGCAGATGGAAGAATCAAAGAGAAGTAAATCAAGTGTATGTTCATTAAATCCTTCATACCCCTGCCCTCACTCTCCCATCTCTTTTATTCTATTGTTTTAGCAAAGTCATTTCACAACAAAGGGCCTCGGGGACCTTGTAGGACCCCCCTACTAAGATTTCCCTTTGGGCAGGTTTTTAAATCACTAACCAGGATATTCCCCATCCCCACTCTACCTCTACCAGTCAAAGATTAATTGGGCAGAAGGCAGGGTAGATTTGCACCTTATAGACTAACTACATCAGAGATCCATAAGCTTTCACAAGCAGCATCTTACTTCATCAAATGCTAAGTAAGCTACTGCTTACAAAAGCTTACGCATCTCAGATGTAGTTAATCTACAAGGTGCAAATCTATCCTGCCTTCAGACTAACGCAGCTAACTACCTCTCTCTAGTAAAAGATTAATTGTAAAATATTGCAGCTTTTGGGATCTGCCCCCCTTGAAGGGAAGTAGCAAACCAGTGGAGCATGAGAATCCTGATCCACGTTAGCAAGCCCAGTCACTTCGTCACTGGAAACAGGGCACAAAGCAACACGCTTTGTCCAATATTAGCTGTCACTGAGACATCAAAGAATGAGAGAGAGAGAGAGAGAATAGAAAAATCAAAGAAGAGTAGTATCTCAAGCAGCTATTTGATGTTAGGCTAGCTCAGAAATTAACTAGTATTCTTTCAGAGGCTCTGAGAATTCTCTATAGAAGGAAAGGAAACTCACTGCCATTTCTTATCAAATGGACACAGGAATTCAGGTGGGGTCACAAGGGTTCTGCAGCCCTACCTGAAAAGACTACCTGCTGCAAGATGTGGTGTTGGCAGCTGTTTGTCTATACTAGGAATAATATTCATTGGGGTGGTTTCCAGCGCTGGTAGCTCCCTTAGGGCACCAATGTCGTGTAGCTTACACTCAAGTAAGCTTCTGTTTGTTGCATCAGCAACCTCTGTTGATAAACTGGAACAAAGCCCGCCCCCCCCCCCCCGAGCTTTGGC